TTTTTTTTTTTTTTTTTTTTTTGTATTTTGTATTTTGTATTTTTAGCATAAAAAGTATCACCATTTGTGACCCACATGTGGTAGAGAAGTCAGGGAAAAGCAGCAAGGGTGGTGTGCTGATCAGTAATAAGGTATATTGTATAACCAACTGATAGAAATAAAATATTTCAGTTTTTTATTAAAGCGGACATAGTGATGATATATTTGGTTAGTACTCATGCCTTCCCATTTGAGCTCTAGTAATAATGACTCTAATGACAGTGGTTTATGTGGGTGGCCATTGTGCTGTCTGTCTCTCTTTATATTCGCACATTAACCATATGAGAAGTTTTTTTTTTTTTTTTTTTTCCTATTTTCGGTAGAATGTGAAGAGGAAAACTGTGGATGTTATCACTTTTTTCACGATCTGTTTTATTTTTAATTCCTAATTCTAAGAAAAAAATATTGTAATTTTTCATTGATTAGTTTTTATTTTATTAAAATCATCATAAGCACACTACATGGTAGGGGGAGGACATTAATGAAAAGGTAGGTAGAACATGAAGAAGGGTTTTCTTTCACCAGCATGTTGGGACGTGCAGATAAGGAGAGCGGATTAATACCAACGCCCAGTTTGATAATGCTGGTGCAGAGATAATTGTGTGTGCAATGTTCAATGCAGGATGTTGATTGAACTTCTGAGTGTCCCACTCTTTTCCTTATTATAAAAGCCAAGAGAAGAAAGCAATAATATCCACTGAATTTTGTATCTTCTTTTTTTCTTCACAAAAATCTTTCTGATGCCATGTTTATGTTATATAATAGTTGGGTGATGCAACTATACGTTGTCTCAGACTTCTTGATGTTAATTGAATTATATAAAATAAATATAAAAAAAAAATCATCTGAACTATGTTTACTCATTCTCGTTTACTATGTATAGTTGCATGCTCTTGTGGAGTATGAAACTTTGGAAGCTTCTGAAAAAGCTGTGAGTGATCAGATCCACGCTCTACTTACTTTAACTTATTAAACTTTTACCGTGTTTGATTTGATATTGATAGTTGTTTTTCTGATGTCATAAGGTGGCTACTTTAAATGATGAACAAGATTGGAGAAATGGCATGCGTGTTAAGCCTTTTAAGCATCTGGTACTGTATCTCATTTTACCTCACTCATATATCAAGTTGAATGTGTTTACAATACAGTTCTTTACTTCAGGTTAAGCATGGCCAGAAGAAACAACACTGGAGAGTATCCGACCCCGACAAGAATGGCACTGGGCGATTAACTGATCATTCTTGTCCTGACAAGAACAGCACTGGACGAACAACTGATCAAAATGTGGACGAAGAGATTCAGAACATAACTGAGCATCATGAGGACGTGCCTGATGAGGAGGTTAATTTTGCTCTTGTACTTTCACTAAACCTAAAAAAACCTGAAATTTTCTATGAGATATGATTGCAAGGAAAAGCTTGTTATGATAACAATATCAACTTTGCCAATTTAGGAGGGCGATCATCAGCACAAGGATAAACATAGACATAGAGGTCGAAATCAAGGACGAACTAGAAGGCAAAAGTACAAGGGTGTCAATGCAATGGGTATTGATCTGATCTCGTCGTTTTAGAGTTCGAGTTATTGAGGATTTTGGCCAGCTAATCGTTTTGCTTTCTTCTAGGTCATGGAACTACAACCTCTGCTCATCACATCGAACTTCCAAAGCCACCCCCAGGCCCGAAAATGCCTGATGGAACTCGAGGGTTCACAATGGGGCGTGGGCGACCTCCAACCTCCAACCAAAGCTCATAGTGAGAATTTCGTGAGAGTGAGTCTGTAGAAATTTCACTTTCTATGTTTGTTTACATTGATTGATGGGTTTGGAAATATATACCATGATTGTGCATCCCCGTGTGGTAAAACGCATCCTGGTATATTATGTTTGAATAGGTTGGCTAAATGTAACTTCTTCTAACCTCAAGCTTTTGGGTCTTAAGAAAAGCCATCTTGTATAATGTTTACCTGTACGGTAAATATTTTTATATGGTGACGTTGAATTATCTACCGCGTCTGCTGCTCATTCTCTCTCATTTATGGCATGTTAAATAATAATAATAATGATTTTAGAATGACCATAATTATTTTTATCAGTCCTCATTTAAAATACGGAAAACGTTTTTATCGGTCCTTTTCTTAGAAAAATCAAAAGTGGACACTTGATGACTTTTTTTTTTCTTTGTGACAATGGTACGGCCACATTTCGTATTCAGCTTTGACTTGACAAATAAGTATACCTGTGGTTTTACAATTGATTGATGAAGCAGATTGTTGGGTTAGAAGAGCCAAAATAATATTTTTGGAAGGAACCTCTGTGATTGTGGAAAAAAGGAAAAAGTCAACTTGATTCAATATTTTCATCTAAAATTCAAAATTTTCTGTGCATATAATAATGAAGTAGTTCGTTTATCTTAGGTATGTGAGGATCATAAATTAATATTCCATTGTAACGTATGATTTAGCTATAAATTCAAACCAAATATAATTTTGCAGTATGGATTCCTTAGCAAAAGGGAGAATGAACTTGACTTGCCAAATAAGAAAAACTTGCACACTCCTAATGCATGCCACAAGCACAGTCACGTTGGTTTCGAGGTTGACAATTAATAAACTATTTTTTCTTATTTGATTGTAGAAATTTAAAAAGAAAATAAGTGTTTTAGTTTTTACTATTAATTTATCATTATTTTTTTTTAAAAAAAAAGCATATGGTTGTGTCTATTCTCGAATGAAATAACAACGTGGTTCTACCATGTTCATTTTCTATTTTCTCCGAATTAACCCGACATTATTTATTAAAAAAAAATCAGAAATAGAAAATAATAAAAGAAAAATAAAAATGAAAATGAAGGGCGAGACGGAGGCTGGTAGCAATTCACAATGACCTCTGAAATTCAAAATTTTCTCCCTTTATAAGAGAAGTGTGCTGAAGAAAAATTCGCTACTCTGATTCCCTCCAGTTGCCAGGAATACGATCCCTTCCCCTTTTCATGTCTTCATTATTATCTTATTCTCCTCACATCTCTGCTCTCACCCTCATCCCCCTTCTTTGACTCTCTCTCTCTCTCTCTCTCTCTCTCCTGCCCTCTCCCTCAGATTCCTCTCCGGTGGAAGACACCATGAATTCGCTTTTAGCTTTTCTGTCGCCGCTGCTTCCTTTTCTGGCCTCTCTCGTGTTTCTGGTCATCTTCCTCGAGCAGATCTCTTACTTGAAGAAGAAACGCTCTGTTCCTGGTCCTCCTCTCGTTCTCCCTTTTGTCGGCAACGCAATTCCTCTGGTTAGGAATCCTGCCCGTTTCTGGGAAATTCAGGCTTCTTTGGCTAAATCCTCCGGGCATGGCTTCTCAGTCAACTACATCGCCGGGAATTTCATCGTCTTCATTCGCGACACTGAGCTCTCCCACAAGATTTTCGCCAATGTGCATTCCGATGCTATGAATCTCGTAGGTCATCCCTTCGGGAAGAAGCTATTCGGCGAGGATAATCTGATTTACATGTTAGGGCAAAAGCACAAGGATCTCCGCCGTCGAATCGCTCCCAATTTCACGACTAAAGCGCTTTCCACTTACACCGCGCTTCAGCAGATCATCATTCTCAAGCACTTGAAAATTTGGGATCAGAAGTCGTCGGAATCCTCGCCGAAGCCGATTCCCTTGAGGTTTCTCGCTCGAGATCTTAATCTCGAAACCTCTCAGATGGTGTTCGTCGGGCCGTATTTAGGCGAGGAGATTCGCGAGAACTTCAGAACCGATTACAACCTCTTTAACGTCGGTTTGATGAAACTCCCGATCGATTTGCCCGGAACTGGTTTCAGAAATGCGAGACTCGCCGTCGACCGGCTGGTGGAGGTCCTCGCCGACTGTGCGAAGCAGAGCAAGGCGAAGATGAAGAGAGAAGAAGAGCCGTCGTGTTTGATTGACTTCTGGATGCAGGACACCGTGAAGGAACTCGAGGAAGCGGCGGCGGCTGGCCTGCCGGAGCCGGTTCACACCAGTAATTTCGAGCTCGGACTCTACCTCTTCGATTTCCTCTTCGCCGCTCAAGACGCTTCCACTTCGTCGCTTCTATGGGCCGTCAGTCTCCTGGATTCCCATCCCGATGTTGTAGCCAAAGTTCGCGACGAAGTCCAATCCATCTGGTCGCCGGAATCGGACTCACTGATATCATCGGAACAGCTTGCGGAAATGAAGTACACTCAAGCGGTGGCGCGTGAGGTGGTCCGGTACCGCGCTCCGGCAACAGTGGTTCCACACGTGGCGGCGGCTAATTTCCCGTTGACGGAATCATACATCATCCCAAAAGGGGCAATCGTGTTCCCATCAGCGTACGAGTCGTGTCAGCAGGGTTTTGTGGAACCGGAGCAGTTCGATCCGGAGCGGTTCTCGGAGGAAAGGCAAGAGGACCGAATTTTCAAAAGGAACTTTCTGGCCTTCGGGGCTGGGTCCCACCAGTGCGTAGGGCAACGGTACGCGCTGAACCATCTCGTGCTCTTCATCGCCATGTTTTGTACGTTGCTTGATTTCAAGCGGCACAGATCCGACGGCTGTGATGAAATCGCCTTCAATCCCACCATCTGTCCCAAAGACGATTGCATGGTCTCCATCTGTAGGCGTTGCCCTCGATTTCCCAATCTCTCGCTTCAATAAAATTTCCCTAAATCTCCAAATTGCCCTCCTCCACTTCATCCAAAAAAAAAAAATTCACTGTATTCTGTTTTCTGTTTTTGTTTTTCTTTTAATATATAATTTGCATCTGCGTGGGAAAACCGACGGCTAGGATTCTTTGGGGAAGGCAAATGTGTTTGTTTTGTTGGTTTGATTATGGGAGAACAAAAAATTGTATTTTGAATTTAAAAAAAGAGTGCTGTTCTGGCAATTACTTGTCCCTTCTAATAAACAAATCCTCTTCACGTGGATGGGCCGGCCGACTGTCCACCACTTATCTTTATAATTAATATTAATCTTAAAATATTATTTTGGTCTACATTGGAATTTTAAAAAATGTTCAATAAATGCGTTTATTAAGAATAGTTTTAAAATATATTTCCATTTTGGCTTTTTTTCTTGCATTAAAAACTCTTATTCCGATCTTGCTTGGAAGTAGCAGATGCGTGGGTTAACTAAGTGCTTAAGCTTTGATGCTTAGGATTATACCAAGCCCTTTTACTTATATATATATATCAATAATAATACTTAAATTCTTAAAATAATAAATAGTTTTAAAATAAGGCCTTTTTTTTTTTTGTGTATGGTTAATGAAATGAGTTGTTTGGTAATAAATTGAATAACTCTTTTACTTTCGTTTCTCATTTAAATTTTTTACCATAAAAGCCAACAAAAAAATATAACAGTTTTTTTTTTTTTTTCCTCTCTCGTGTCATTTGGGGTTGGTGGGTCTTGTTCTCTCCACACAAATTGTAGATATTCTTGCCAAGTTGTTTTTTGCTTCGTCTTTTTTCTCTTTCCTTTTCCTTTTAGGCACGAGATGCATTGACTTTTTAGAATGATTAGAAATTTGAATTTATAACGTTAGAAATTACGTTTGCTTATTTGCTTCATAATTATATATATACATATATATAATTAAAATTTTGTGTGATTTGTCTCACGCTTAAAAACGTCTTAATCTCTCTTGTACTTCAAATATAGACCAATCATATATTTTAACCAATTAAATTTAATTTTATAATTTGATAAACATGTCAATCTTATTATAGCGACTTTTATATATTAAATGTTCTGGTGTATTTAACGTTTGTTTTACTATTCAATTCAACTGCCCTACAAGTGAGTACGAGGATATAACACATTAAATGTGCTTTAGCAGGTGAATTAAAATTTGGTTAAATACTCAACGACGACAAAAATGAGAAGGAAAAAAAGAACATGCAACAAAACTCAACTCAGGTCAACAAACACCAACTTATTAACTCCCATTTTCATAACTCGACTCAACTCAATGCCCTAAACGCCCTTAACTTATTTTTGGTCTTTGGAGTGTTCGAGTTCGGACAGAAATTAGATCAGGGAGGTTTATAATAGATAAGGGAGGAAATTAAAAATATAAATAAATAAATGTAAAAGTCAGTGTACAGATTGATAAGATTAAATCTTGAGCCAAATAATAATTATTTTAGGAGACAAGACAACGTGATCAGGACTTTACCCAATAATTTAATCCTATTATTCTCATTTCTAATTCGTATATTAAGAAGTAAACAACTCATTCAAGATTCAAATATTTATTTTCCTTCTACTTATTTATAAAAATAAAAAAAATAATAATCAATTTTAATTTGAAGTTGGCGACAGTCGGAGTCTCATATTATTATTATTATTTTAAACATGTTTTCCGAAAGTTTAATGTGTTTGATTTATTAAATTGTTTTTTTTATAGATAGTAGGTAAGTATAAATTAATTATTTGTAGAGAGTTATATCAGTTAATAATTAAAATTAATAATTTTTTTTTTAATTTTTACAAAATTTTTAAAACAATGAGAATTTTATTATATATATATATATATATATATATATGACATTAATTTTGAAAATATGTGAAAAAAAATTAATAAAACAAAGTCAGCTAAAAATAGTACATATAATCATTAAAAAAACTAAATACAATGAAATTAATAAATATCTATATTTTTTTTTTCGTCACGTGGAGGCACATGTAATTCATGAAGTGTTAGGTTGTCATTATATATATATATATATTGTTCGTACTCGAAGTATCTTACAGCTAATGATTAGCTTTTGGGCTTTTAATGGGCCTCGTGGAGGATGTAATGCTGGGCTTCTTGAATTGGGTGATATGGGCTGCATGCGCTTTACAAGAATGGGCCCATTGAAAGCCCATTGAATTGAGTGACATTAGCTTTTGGGCTTTCAGTGGGCTTTACAGGAATGGGCTTCGCTGGACATTATCTGGGCTTGTTAAAAGCAGTGGGCTTTACAGGAATAGGGAATAAATTTTGCTTTTCAATTTAATAACTATAACAACTCTCTCTCTCTCTCTATATATATGTATATGATAATTATTATTAATTTGTTTGATAAAAATATAATTTTTTAGAATCTGGATTATGGCTATATATATTAGAAAAGGAGTATATTCTATATGAAACTTTTTATTTTTATTATTTTTAAATACACAAAATAGTAACAATTGAAAAAACCCATTATAATAGGGCCTTGGGCCGATTGCAGCAAAAAATTACGAGGTATATATAGAAGGCGGGAACTAGGGTTTTGGTTTCTGAATTAGCCGCAGTAACCATCCATCTCCAAGAAGGCACCAGAGCATCCAGAGCTCTAAACTCGTCGCCAATGGTTACTTTCAGGGTAAGCCTTCCCACTCCCAACTCTAATTTTTCACTCTCCATCTCTGTCTACTCCACCTGCGCTTTTTATGCAGTCACTTGAGTAATGAAATGACATGATTGGAAGTGAAACCGTTTGTTCATTCGGTTCAATGTAATGTGTTTTCTTTTTGCAGTTCCACCAATACCAGGTTGTGGGGAGGGCTCTCCCATCCGAATCCGATGAGCATCCCAAGATTTACCGAATGAAGCTGTGGGCAACTAATGAAGTTCGCGCTAAATCCAAGTTCTGGTGAGTTTTCTCGTGTTTTTGTTTGATCATATTGGCTGAAGAGTGTTATCACGTTATTTGGAAAATCGATTAATGCAATCAAGATTTTATGATTGATTTCTCAGTGTTACAAAAACCTTCACTCTGTCTTTTCCCTCTTCTATCTTAGGTATTTTCTGCGGAAGCTGAAGAAAGTCAAGAAGAGCAACGGTCAGGTTCTCGCTATCAACGAGGTAATCTGCTTCTGTCTCTAAGATTGACTGCCAAAGATTATTTATTTTTGTCTGACAATTGATGTAGGCGACCTTATGTTGGCTTATACAGTTATTGCATAATCATTTCGCATGAACAAAAATCTGGCTTTCATGTCAAACTATTCCCTTTTGCGTCCTTGTAGACTGTTACTATGAGTAACTACTTCTTTAGGCTCACGTCCTTTTGAAATGTGGTAGTGAGTTTCTGATGCGATTTGGACACTTTTCCAGTGCTTGTACCGCATGGTATGATCTTAAGAGTTTTAGGAAATATTATGGCTGCAAATATATTGTGAGCGCAACTGTGAAAAACATACGGTGGGATGATCAATTCATAGTCTCCCATTATATCAAATTGTGTTGGTTCGTGAAATGTGAGTGTTGTTATGTAATGAAAGAACAATTATTAGCTATCTTGATGATCGATTATTGTAATTGATTTAAAGAGTAGACCCAATTCTTAGTGGAACGAGTTATGGCATCAATTATGCCCCTAAGTCGTAATTAATGATTGCATTTGGTTTTTTGATCTATTTGCTGGGTTGGTTGCTAAGTTCTAGTATATATGTAAGAATTATTAGCTAGATTTTTCAATTGGGTTGTTCTAATAGAATTGTCGTTGTCTTTAGATCTTCGAGAAGAATCCAACAAAGATCAAGAACTATGGTATTTGGTTGCGTTACCAAAGTCGCACGGGATACCACAACATGTACAAGGAGTACAGGGACACCACCTTAAATGGAGCGGTGGAAGCTATGTACACCGAAATGGCTTCTCGCCATAGGGTCAGGCATCCTTGTATCCAAATCATCAAGACCGCAACTGTCCCTGCTAAGCTTTGCAAGAGGGAGAGCACCAAGCAATTCCATGACTCCAAGATCAAGTTCCCCTTGGTGTTCAGAACTGTTAGGCCACCCACCAGGAAGCTGAAGACCACGTACAAGGCTTCAAGACCCAATTTGTTTATGTAATTTGCTTGTTTGAGGAACGAGAAAATGTTGTCAGAGTTGTCTTATTTTGAAATCTTCATTAGAGAGACCTTCCTATCACCGGTGTTTTGACGATTTATCTTCTTTTTATATGTGGGATCAGACAATTTTTGTTTGGGTTTATTGCCATGACTTTCGGTTTCTTATGGAGGAATATGATCAGCACCTTTGAGGATGAAATTTTTTACCCCCATGATGAACTGTTTGTATTTTTTTTTTTCCTTCAGAACTTCTCCAGTTCGACAACCATGTGGAGTCGTTCATGTTTTCATTGTATTACTGTTATCAGTAAAGTGCTAAAGCCACCATTTTACGGTGGAAAACTATAGCTAAACAAATTTTCTGTACAGTGGCTTCGTTTTCCAATCACCCAAACTATCACTTTATCACAGTATAATCAATATATTAATCACCAAAGGCTGAAACATATTTCTATCGTAAAGAAGGGGTTTTTTTCTTTTTTCAGTGAAACATGGGCTGAATAGACACACGGAACGTCCAGACTGAAACGGCAGAAGCAAGGCATTTGAATTCCTCATATTTTTCTCTGTTCGAAGATGGGTGAGGAGGGGAAGAAGAAGAAGGTCGTTTTGGAATCTCTGGGATGGCTGATGGAGTGTTCGATAGAAGCACAACGCCATCGCTGGAGTCAGTGCATCTTCAATCATGGAACCTACTAGAGACATGTTTCCACACCCTTATACAAAATGCTTCGCGTTCTTTCCCCAACCCATGTGGGAACTTGAAATCTCTACACCCTTATACAAAATGCTTCGTTCTTTCCCCAACCCATGTGGTTACTTGGAAGGAGGCATAGTAATTCATTCGGTTCTTGTTAAGATAGAAGAAAATAAGTAAACTACATATCATCATTAGCAAATTAATGTATTGTATTAACAGAATCAATACATTACAATGCAGTGAAATGCAGCTTGAATATATCTCAAACTGGCTTTGAAATGAGGCACCGCTGCCAGAAAGCAAGATATCAAAACACTTAAAATTCTGAGAATAAGATAGCATATGAAGACAACTAACGCTGCTTTATGGAGCCAAAAAGATCCTCATATGAAAGCTTCGGCGCATCAGCGCGAGAAACTATTTCGACAACCTTGTAAGACGCTTCCGGGCGAACCAATGCCTCAACAGCTACTTCTGCAACTAAATCTCTTGATATGCTTCCTTCATAAAGAGTATCCTAAAAATAACCCCCAAGATTCAGTTAGCCACCTAAATATCATATAGAAGCAAAGATCAATGCAAACAAGACAAAATGTGATTACTTCTGCTGCCATGACTAAATTTCCAGTGGGAGGCTCATTTTTCAAACCTCCAGGCCTTATGATTGTGTAGTCAATACCCGATTTCCTGATGTGGCGTTCTGCTTGAAGCTTTGCTATCAAGGTGAGCCCGAAAACATTTAGAAAGATATAAGCTGGGTTGAGAATCTGCCCCATTGCAGCTCCATTCACTAAAATGGAACTGACGAGAACAAATCTGTTTATGCCCAACTCACGGCATGCTTCAACAAGGTTTACAGTGCCAAAATTGTCGATCTGCAGAAAACGCAATCGTTTTGAGATTATACCTTCGAAAAATATCCGTTACAATAGCACCACAACATTGAATCTTCAGCAAACCTTCCATGGCGCAAATAAATCCCAGCCTGGGCGAAAGCCTGTAGCACAAATTACTGCTTCAGAATCGGAACCTATGGCTTCTGCCAACTTCGCAGAGCCTTCAGTCACATCCGCTTTCACCTGATATAAAATTAACAGAATTACAACTGAAAGAATTCAAAACAATAATCGCTGGAATTTTGAAATTTTTTTATGGACAAACTTACGATTTGAAGAGCAGGATTGTCTGGGGAAAGAGTAGCTTTAGCCTTGCTCACGTCTCGAACTCCGGCTTTGACTGCAAAACCCCTAGCCAGCAACTGCTCCACAATCCTTTTTCCAGTACTTCCCGATGCACCGGCCACAAAGATCTTTCTCCTTGCATCGTTTTGTTTCTCTGCAACTTCTTCCGTAATTTGATTTCCTTCCATCTGCCAATACGCAATAAAACTTAGAAGAATTCATAAGAACCTATAAATTTAAAACTGTAGCAACCTATAAATCAAAGCAATCAGCGAAAAGGAAATTCAGGCAAGTAGTCCTCTACTCCTCTTATGGTGCGAGTGACACTAAAACGCTAAGCAACTCGCAAGGAATGAAATCCAGCATAGAATAGAATAGAATAGCAAGAAGAATTACCTTGGTGGAGTTGAGAATGGAGAAGGAGGCGAATTTCTTGGAAGAGAAGGAAACGGGGAGAAAGGATTTGCAGAGAGGACAAAAATGGAGACGTTGAGAGTTCAATTGGGAGGAGGAGGGGGTGATGGCGTTGGAAAGAAAAGGAAAGGCCATCGCTCAACCACGGATCTCTCTCTCTCATCTCGCGCCAAGTAATCCCATTTTTGCTCCTTTACTACTTTCTAGTACCTTCATTTTCCCCCTTCTTTTGGTTTTATCTCATCATTAAACCAATACTAATAATTAATTTTGGAAATAACATTCCTATCCTACAAACTACAAATAATTTGCTCAACAATAAATAATTTGTTGTTTAAGGTATAATAATTATTATTATTATATGAACCAAATCAAATGTTATAAAACATTATCAATATTATTATTATTATCAACTAAAAAATTTAAATCTCTTAATTGAAAATATATGTAGCTCACTTTAATACAATATTGATATAATAGTTGCTTTTAGTCGATAGTATGTGTATGCATATAATATAAATTATTCCATCTATTTAAAAGGGCTCGATTAATTCAAAACACGTGATATCATTCATTCATTGTATTATAGTTGAAGGCAGTCTTTAAGTTAAATAAAGTCCATATAGTTTTGGGGATGTTGACAAAACCAATTCTTCTCAACGAATAAGTGATACATTCTAACAACTACACCAAGACGAGTAACTGCAAAAGTTCATAATTAACACAGATAACATAAGAGAGATGGACTTCGCGAGTATAAGATTCTGATTCTGACAGAATTTTCTAAAGCTTTTTTCGAGGAAAAACAATCTTACGCCCAGTCAGTCTCTCCTGGAAATGTGCTCCTTCTGTTGCCAATTGAGAAACGAATCATAATGTTAATGACAGATCCGAGTTGAGTTGACTGACACTTCAATTGACTAATTAAAGCCCACTAGCAATTCTAGAATGAGTTCATCACCACATCTTTAGAAAAAAGTGAAATTCAAGTAATCCCAAAACTGACATTTATAATGGCGAGGATTTTGGAGAAGTTTACGAAGGCTGTACTGTGGCGCGAGGGGAAAAACAAGCTTTACCTGTGTCAAGTTCCTGCTTAAAATAGTGTTTACGAATCATGATATCATATGCACCACGCTATCAGCTATCATTACCCTGTTATCATCTTGCAGTCTCTGAAAATTTTCAAGCGGTAAGAATTAGTCTCTCAAACAATATAACTTTAACAATTAAGAAAGCTTTGCAACAGACACTATCCTAGATCAAATTACTTCCAAGGATAGAGTCTTAGTTATTTAAAATTATTTGTATTTACCTGCAAGAGCAACATTATTTCAGCTGTAGTGTAACGAGTATCTGCTGCAGCATTAACGATATTCTCAATGTCGGCAATAGATATAAGATCCAGGTGGTTTGCACGCATGTGCTGACCAAATAAAGAATTGAATGCTTCTATTCTGCAAGACGATAGTTGAAGAATTAGTATGAAAATGAAGTCAACTCTTAACAATTAGTGAGAATATGATGTGGTGAAGGCCGCATGATTGCTAGCAGTTCGACAAACCTTTCTGCAGACAGATTGAGTACAGGTTCGGTAAGAGGATCATCGATTTCCATGGAGTCTGTCCTTGAGCTAGTGAAAAAATAAAACGAGTAAAATCATTCAACGAGAGCTCGTACAGGAAAATCGAAAGCTACAGTCAGCACATTATATATTTTTATATCAAAAGCTATGTAAGCTCATTAATTATTGAAAATAATATATATGGAAGAGTCAATTTATGTTTGATGCTTTGGTCGAATATTATGGTTTAGGCAGACAAACCCAATATAGAAAAATCTAGACAAAATTAGATACAGAGGCTTTATGTATATTGCTAACCTCTCCTCTCTTCTTTTGGTACTTCGTTCTGGTTCATCATTTTCCACTGTTTGATGCTCAGCTCTGCGTTTTCTTTCCAATTCTTTCTCCCTTTCTTGCTCACGCTCTTCCATTTCAGTCAACTCTTTATGATATATGGCAAAATTAAGAACTTTCAAGGCAGCTTCAACATCAGACTTTGAAACCTAACATTTTCAGACAAATTGTTATTGAAGAAGAAGAATGTTTAAAACAAATACTGGTAAGAAAACTTATTCACGTATTCTAATAGTATCAGGATCATAATAACACCAATATACCTTTCTACTCAACTTCAATTTTGCATGAGCAGTTGAGAGACGTATAATGGTTTCTAGGGTTCTGGCAGTCATTGGAAGAGTTCCTCCAGTCTACAGAGCATGCATAATGTATCAGTTAATAAATTGGAAATCTTAACTTAGTGGTAGCGCACTTTTCAGATAAATATAACTTGCCTTCGCATTTGAAGTGGAATTTCTAAGTTCTGCATATGCTGTTGCAATGTGCTCAGATGCCTGCTACAACATATGACTTGATCAAAAGAGTGGGACAGAACAAAAAGAAGATAATGGATTGCCAAGAGGAGTTTGAGGACTAGGACGTCTAATTTGTTAAAATTGTTGCGATTCAAGTGCATAATCACAATCCAGAATTATGAGTAAAATCAGTATATAGCCAGCAAAAAAGGTCACCTCATCAGTTAGGTCGGGTTGTATCCTATGCTTAGCATAATGAATATACTTCTTGAGAAACTTGATGGTGAGAGTATCACGCTTCCGACCACGTTCTGTCTTCTTTCCATGAAGCATTCTATTATACTTGACGAAGACAGAAGTGTCAGCCTCAGCTTCATCTTCTCTTCCATACATCGAGCCCCCAGCCTCTCCTAATTGTTTTAGGGTAATTAAATAGTGTCTGGAACTATGAAGTTAAAGCAAGCTGATGCAATTTCCTTACCTCCATCAAGTACAGAACGATACCGGTGCATACGTAACACATGTTCCGAAATATGGCGATCAATATCAGGATCCATTTGATCCAGTACAATAAACAATAGATCAAATCGAGAGAGTAGGGAGTCTGGAAGACCTATATTCTTTGTTGGTGTCAATGAGCGATCGTACTGTAAATGTGTAGCCAAACAGAAGAGTTAAAAATGTTTACGTACAAAATCATCAAATGTGCATAATCAACTATACGTTTCGACTAGTGAACAAAGAAAGTTAACCGCATATCACTTACAGATCCATATATGGGATTTGCAGCTGCTACTACACTGCACCGAGCGTTCAGTGAAGCATGAATGCCAGCTTTGGCAATAGTCACAGTCTGCTGCTCCATAACTTCATGTATTGCAACCCTATCTTGATCATTCATCTTGTCAAACTCATCAATACAGACAACACCTCTATCAGCAAGAACCATTGCACCAGCTTCAAGCCTTCTTTCTCCTGGCAGAAGCATTATTGAATCATCCATTTCAGTATCATCAAATAATGTCAGACATGCTAGAAGTAGAACCACCAAAAAGAGTAACCTGTTTCCTGATCTGATGTAACAGCAGCAGTTAACCCAACGCCAGATGAACCACGGCCTGTCGTGGATATTGCTAAGGGTGCAATATTCATGATCGCCCTTAAAAGTTGAGACTTGGCGACAGAAGGATCACCAACCATCATCATGTTGATATCACTAGAATAAAGAAGACAATACAATTTCAGCAAGGGTGAGCAATGCTTAAATTGATCATCATCAAAAAAAAAACAAAAAAAAAAAATTGATTCAAGGTACTAACCCTCTTAAGTGGGTGCCGTTCTTCAAGTTCTTCTCCACTCCACCAAGCATCAATAGTATCACTGCTTTTTTTATCCATGAATGTCCATATATGGAAGGTGCAAGAGAATTACCGAGAAGGTCAAATGTGTCATCTCTTTCAGCTATCTTTTTAATATTCTTCAAGTCCTCGGGACTGTATATGGGTGCATTTGCCTCTTTGTTTAGCAGAGAAACATTGTTAGCTACAAGAACAGTCCTACAAGAAAAGATTGCAAAGTTTAGTTCCCTATCAGAAGTTGTAAAAGGATTAAACATGCAAGATATATAAGAATCTTTATTTTTAATGGGAACCATGCTATCATAGAGCAAATGAAAGAATGTACAAGCAGACACGAGATATATAGAAAAATTCTTAGACAACAATCCAGCGAGCTACCTGAACACTCCATTCACGCTGCCCTTACTTTTTCCTGGAAGAGCTTTATATATTCCTACAATTGCAACACGATCACCTGGCTTGCAACAGTCAACTAAGTCATCCTCGACTATGACATCCACTGTTCGTGGAAGCTGACCAGGCGCTGAATTCTCAGGCATTTCTTGCATTGATAAAGTCTGATGATCTTTGTATCTACACAAGCCATACTCGGTAACCAACAAGTTGCCATTTTCATCCTGAGAGAATTTTATTTCAGCACAATTTCTTGAAAACGTCACTGCTTAGAAAACAATTAACTTTGATGTTACCCTTGTGGGATACACAGATCCTGTGGGCAAGCCCATGTTGGATGCAATGTCACGGTATTCACGGCTGGTAAAACCACCGGTTGTGGGGCAGAAATGAACACTTTTGACAACTTTTGGTCTGACAAGGGAACCTACATTCAGTGATCACCGGATCAAACTCATGCATGAACTGGGGATTATTGCAACTCAATAATTAAGACAAAATCAGAATTATTTTTAGATACAATGAGAAATCCGGTTAGTTATTTCCAAAATTTAAACTAACCAACACCTTGAATATGATAGACCATAATACCAAAAGTTTAAGCTTAGTAATAAATGTGTGCGTGTGTGTGAATTTTCTGAGTTCTACCATAAAGTTTCAGCACTTCACTCTGAAAAGTAAAAGATAAAAATAAAAGAAGCATTTAACTTCCATGCCCCAAGTACAGAATTATTTCACGCAAGTTCCAAGTTTGTTCTTGCTGATATCCATTAGTTCGTGTCAAATATTATACTTCAAAATTTTGAGAAACAACTAGACCGGCATAACTTAATAGCGTGCGTGAAGTGTTGATGAGCATAATGAATTACATTTGGTGACAATGCCCTCAACGCAGACCATGGAGCCAATGAACTGAGAGAGAAGTTCCCTAGGAGTGACACGGCGAGAAACAAAGGGGCCCTCAAAACCCACCAAAACTTGCTCTCCCTCCTTGAGATATTTTGGATCAATACTGCGAGCAGTTTCTGTGACTGCATCGCAGAATGGCTGAATGTACTCGC